GAGTGGGGACGGCTGGAGCCAAGAGGCCGCGAGGGCCCAGCTGGAGCAGCCTCACCAAGCCATGACCGGACGCCATCGCTAAGAAGAAAGCAATGGAGGGTGGAAGGAAAAAGGTCGGACCGGTGTCGCGGGAACACACTTCCCCGAGCACCTGCGGAGCGCGCAGGCGGGGGGCGGAGCCAGGGGCGGAGCCAGCGTCCAAGGGGCGGGGCGGTTTCGGCGGCGTCTGTACTGCGCACGCGCAATACTGTTTCTCGCGTTTTGGCGCTTCTTTTCAAATGAGCAGGCTTTGAGGGGACTCCAGTGTTTCTTCGCCTTGGTACCTGCTCTCTTGTTATTTTCTCATTAAAGCAAAACAAAAAACTGGTTGCACTTTCAGTTTAAGCACTTAGATTTTCAAGAAAAAACATTTCTTGTTTGTATTTAGTCTTCAAGGTGCAGACCATTGACCCAACCACTGCTGAACATTCTGCTTCTTACCCTGCACATGTCTAGAAGCCTTGCTCTCAAAAGCCTTGAGTTCAGCCACGTGTTAACGAACGTAATATTAAAATCTGTATCCAGAAACGCCTAACACTATAATTTTTTAAAAATTGGGGGGAAACCCAGGATTGGGGATAGGGACATTGAAATGGTAACACTGAAATTAAGAATGCATTTTTTTGGCCATCTTTATCTCCTACATTTCAACAAGGCTATTTCTTTCCTAACAGACAATATACTTTTTAAAAGCTCTTTTGTTAGGGTACAAGGGGTCCTTGTCCATTCCAAGTTTAGAGTTGGCTGTTGCCCTGGGGCACCTCTTCTTCCTAGAGCAGGTCCCCTGTGGTGCCCAGATTGGTCTCCTCTGTCATAGGTTGTTCCTGTTTCTACAAACGCTTTCTTCTGTTCAGTTATAAAGTCCTTTTCCAATTTACATCTTTCGTGGTTCTTGTACTTGTCCTCCAAGCAAGCCTTGTCTCTTTCTCCTGGCCCCAGATACAACTCAATGTACATTGATCTCCCTGGAACACAAACCAAAGTGTGTTAGTACTTAGCTCAAGAACCTTGAGGCCAGGACTGTACAGCTCAGTGGAGGTTTCTCAGCTCAGTCTTTCAAGACAAAGCATCTGAATGGTTCATCTTTGCCTGGACAAGGGTTTACATTGGAGAAACAGGAATAAAAGAGAAAGCACCTACCACAAAAGAAGCCAACAAATATCTGGTTGAGGCAAAAACTGTGAAAAGGGACACAAGGGTATTATGACTGACTATTGTATTACACTGTGTGTAAACTATTAAAATCAATAAGTGGAATCAGTAAGTGAAACTCTTCTTTACAGTACAGTGTTCTACTTATTGGGAGATACAATTTACAGCCACTGGAAACAGTGATTAATAGTAAAATGAAGTTTTTCAATATTGATTCTCAGTAATACAATGAGCATATAATTTGCAAATATAAAAATAAAAAGGTCTCGGGTGATTTCACCCACTAATGTACCACATGGAGCTCAAAAATTAACTTTTGGTGAATTGACTTTGTTCCTTTACTATACCAAAATAAGCTAGATAATGAGTTTAACAAGAAAAAGTTTATTTTGGCTCACAGTTTGGAGGTTGGGGCTCATTGCTTTTGGGCCTGTGGCAGGAGACTTATAGCAGAGCAAAATCAGTTCCTCTCATGCTAGGATATGTGGGAATGAGGTGGGAAGAAGGTGCTGAGGGCCCCACCTCCCTTTCCAGGGCACACCCGCAATGACTGAAACACCATACTAGACCTTCACCTCCTAATAGCTCCAAGCTGTAGAGGGACCCTTTAGCACATAGCCCTTTGGGGACCTTCCAGAGTCAAACTCTAGCAGCCATTAAGTTTTAGAGCAATTCACTGTGCAGCAGAGAACTAAGGGAGAAACTGAATGAAAATGCCAACATAACAAATATTCTGTATTCACAAGTCTTACGGAAAGGCCTCAGAATGCTGGTCTAGATAGATTAACAAGATTTTGCTAAAGGTAGATGAGATGAAAAGGAAAAATGATGTTGGATGGTATGTACAGAGTCATATAGTAAAAGTGATTATGAATTTTACATAGGTAGAAGGGACAAGTTCCCTGGACCCTCTGGACATTCACTAGAATGAACTGATAATAGGTTAAACAGGAGAAAAGACACACAGATTTATTTTGTACAGTGTCATGGTTTGGGATTTTTGCAAGGGAAACAATACAATACAGGACACATTTTATAAGATTATTTTATAATGAATCACCCAAAGAATCATATACAATGAGAGAAGTAAATCTGTCCACACACTAAAGACCAAAGAATCCAGCTGAGGGTCTGAATCCTGACCTCCTGCACGAGTCCAGCTGAAGACCAAGAGCCCTCACAATGCCTCCCACAAAGTCCAACTGGAGGCCTAGAGGCCATGACAGTGTCTCATACAGGCCTGCTTCATGCATATGCACTGAGAAAGCCCAAAGGTCAATGGTGGAAGCTAGAAAGTCTGTGCCAGCGGGACGAAGGATCTGGGCCAGCAGGCTGAGGGATCTGTACTGGAGCCAGGAAGCAGTGCTCAGGTAAGAACCAGAGCTTCCCAAAAGTACCACAGCCCTCCTTAGTACCCGTGAAATCCTGAGCTCCTCCGGCAATGAGGAAAGCTGAGTTCCCGTCAGAAGAGCCAATGTGACAAGCTACTGTAGGAGGCTGAGCAGTGCACTCTCTTTCCCTATGAAGCCAGGAAGTGATGCTCAAATGAGGACCAGAGCGCCCCCAAAATGAACCACAGCCACTCTCGATGACATTGAGGTCTGGAGGTCCCCCTCCAACTAGAACAGTCAAATTTATCAGGAAAGCAACATGACAAGGTCCTCTTGCAGAATAACCCAAGAGAACCAGCAGCTTCCAACAGCTCCAACAGCTTCTCTGAATAGCTTCCCTAACAACCTCTCAATAGCTTCTTTCTCTTATGCTGCTGACAACAATGCTCAGTTGGGTCTCCCATACCCAAGGAGTTCAGCTGGGTGTTACAAGTTGACTACTACTTAACAATCCACTACACACATGGATGCAATCACAAAGTATATGTAACCACTAGCCAAATATGATTCATATATATATATATATATATATATATCCCTTTTCTAAAGGGAAAGAGAATGGGAAATGTAGACAATTTTTAGGGAAAGAGTAATGATTTTTAGGGAAAGTCACTGGGTTTGGAGGAACATATGATGGCCTTGGACAAAATGTCTTGGGTCTGCGGCGAAGACAGGCAGTTCTCTTTGAGATACTGAATGGTCTCAAAAGACAGTGTGCTGGGCATGCTGGTACATGCTGTAATCCCAGCACTCACATGACGAGGTAGGAAAATCACCATGAGTTCAAGGCCAACCTGGGTTACACAGTGAGTGCAAGGCCAACCTGAACTATATAGTGAGACCCTGTCTAAAAAAAAAAAAAAAAAAAAAATAGAAGACCATAGTATGTGACAAAAGTTTTACCCAGGCATGCGACATACCTCAGTCTCTTTTCCTTAGCTATGAATTAGTTCATGGAAAGTGATGAAAGGGACAATAGGTTTTCTTTTTCAGGTGTCTCAGAGTTAAGCAGACACAGTTATCAAAGAAAAGCCTCTCCATGTATCTTAATTTAAGATAATTAAGTGTGCATTTGGGGGTGAAAATCCTGGTCCTAGAAACCCAGTAGAGATTCCTACCAAGTCTGAGACAAAATATGGGGACCATATCCAGTGGGAACTGGAATCACTGGGAAGTGATTCCTGCTCTGCAATCTCCCACCACTGCCCCCTACTGGTCAAATTTATCAGTGAAGCAAGGCAGCAATGTACTCTGGGAAATGGAGTTTGAAGAGTCAGCTCCCTACATTTTGGATTGTGCAGGATCTGGTGGCAAATAGGTAGCAGAGAATTCCATTCAAGTAGCAAGAATTCAAGTAGCAAGAGTGTGAAAAGTGGGTGCTTTAGTCAGGGCTTTACTAGAGGAACAGATATAACACAAGATGTACCAGTTACAGAGTCGGTGAGGAAGTGTGCTGAGAGCCTCCACACACCCCAGAACGAAGGATTCAGTCCCGAGGTCTGAAGCTCACTGCAGTGTTCCGTCTCTAGCAGTCTCTAATGGTCTCTGATGGTCGGCTGTTGGGTCTGCAACAGAAGGCTGAAGAATCTGCGATGGAAAGCTGAAGGATCCAAGCTGGAGGCCAAAGAATCTGTGCTGGAAGCCAGGAGATGAAGGCCAAGGTGATTTCAAAGACTGAAACTCTTCCGAGGAAGTCCAGTGCCCAATCCGTCCTCAACCCCTTAAAATTCCGTTTTTGTGCTGAGTTACTCTGGGGTGGGGCCCTCACAGCCCAGAGTGTGGAACTGTCAGGCAATCCAGGCAAGTTGACAGTGACAAAACCCAAAAGAACAATAATCCAGGGCTGGTGCGATAGCTCAGCGCACTAAGTGCTTGCTTTGACAAGTGCAGGGAGGAGAGCTCCATCCCCAGTCCTGCATGCTTCGCCAGCCCCACCCCTGGGGTGCACTGAACCTGCCACCGAGTTTGGACATGGTGGTGCATACCTGTAATCCCAGTGCTGGGGAGATTGAAAACAGGAGGATCACTATGAGTCCGATCTGTGTAGTGAGGCCGTGTACCTAAAACATAAATGAAAAGAAAAAAAAAAAAAAAAGAATAACGCATTATGCTAGCATACTTTGATTTATCCAAAGAAACTTTTAAAAAGATACAATAATGCTACCTTTTATTGCTATCATTCTCACTCTAATAACAAAGCTACAGTACTGTGCCAAGGAGATGGCTCAGTAGAACAAGCGCTTCCCTGGCAAGAACAGAGGCCTCAGTTCAATCCCCAGTTCTGCCAAAAAACCCCAAACAAACAAACAAAAAAACCCAAAGTTACAATATATTCCAGTGCCAGCTGGAATAACATGTTATTATTAATATATATTATTAATGATATAATAGATTGGATGAAGAGACTCTTAAAGAGGTAATTGGCTTATTAAAGAGGGGATGAACCACGTCAATGGGTCAGTCCATTCATGCATCCAGAACTGAGTGGTCTGTCATAGGTGGAGCCTGGCTGGAGGAAGGGATGTGGCTTTGAGGACTACATC